CAAAACCGTGATAATATTGATAATCACGATAATTTTGGACACTATAATCGTGATATGAAATTTTCATACCGTCCCATCCCTATTTACAATCAGAATCAGAAATGATCGTCTATTCTATTTAGTTTGTGTGTGTTTATGTGAAGTGAGTGAGTGACTCAAGGTTATAATCAATGAATTTATAAAATGTTACAGCTTAATGAAATAAACAGACTGAGAAGGTATGAGAAATTTTCAGAATTACTGCATTTACACAACACTTAAAAACAAATATCAAAAGATGTAATGCCAATTGAACTTTAAAGCTCCTGTATACGAGTTGATCACACAGTAAACTAAAGCTTTAAAAAAACAGCCCTTTTCCACTTTCATTTTTTCATCTTGATCTCCTCATATTTTACCCTCCTCTTGTACTACATTTCTTCCATTTCGCCACTTCACCATCCCATTTTCTTCTGTCCAAACATCCTCAACCTTCACAACACCTATTCCTCTTTCCTTCTCCGATCTCATTCCCTTTCGCTTAAATTCTCCTCATCTTTCTTTTTCTATCCCATCTCTCCACCTCTCTCCAACCTTCTTCATCACTCCTTTCCCCCATCTGAGGTGATCTTGAGGTGAAAATTGGATTCCTCCATTTCCTCTCAGATACAACAAGATTAAACAGATGTGAATAAATAAAGATGGATAATACAAAAAGATTCAAAAAGAGAAAGCGAGAAAAATCAGCTGCCTTTCTTCACTTCTGCCAGGTTAATGTTGGAAGAAGTGTTGACATTAGATGATAAATATGGCTTTGAATAAAGGTGTGGGAGTATAACTAACATCAGATATCACAAGGAAATAAACTTTACAATTCTGACAGGCAAGAGCACAAGTGACTTACAGCAAACAACAAGCTACTGCAGCACTAACTTATTTAATATAATCCCATTAATAAAATCACACGCTCACACATGCAGCACCTAAAATTAACACTTACCAAATGAAAATGAAAGTAAAAATTGGCTTTGGGATTGGGAGCTACATACCAGTTGGCTGGTAGCTTTATTAAGAACTGCTGGGCCCAAAATGAACTTTAGCTCATCTGCAATGGCAGGAATATTGTGCACCATAAATATTTCTTACCAGCTATGAAATATTTGCATGATTTTTTTGTCCTACTATGACAATGTACAAATATTGTTCTTTTTCCTTACATGTGACGGCAAACTGCAGATTGTGACTGGTGCAGTTTGACACACTGGCCTACACTGTTAGTCACAAACATGCAAGAAGCTACGCTACCGTTCAAAACCTGAAAAGTTTAAAATGTTTTTGAAGCAGCCCACCATGGCTGCATTTATTTATTTGATCAAAAATACTGGTCATATTGTGAAATATTACAATTTAAAACAAGTTTTGATGAAATTTCAGCATCATTACTCCAGTCTTCATTGTCACATGATCCTTCAGAAATCATATGCTGATTTAGTAAATCAAGAAACATTTCTTATTAATATCAATGATGAAAACAGTTGTGCTGCTTAATAGCTTTGTGGAAACAGTGAAAATTCTTTTAGGATTCAGCAATTATAAGAAACAGAAATCTTTGGTAACTATGAATATCTTTATGGTCACTTGATTAATTTAATGATTCCTTGCTGAACAAATATATTGATATTTTGAACAGTACATTTTCTCAATTCACTTGCCATTGGCAGGTGTGGCAAAAAGTTCATTTTGGACCCTGCTCACATGTCATTCTGTGTGGCACATGGGGGAGCTGATGAGGTCACATGATCAAAATAGCTAGCTACAGACTGTTTGTAATAAATATACTCTGGAACTGTAACTTGTACCACTATATTATTAGTCAAAACAGACCACAACACTTCTCAGAAAACAAACTTTTACTTCAAATTTGGAAAATACATTTTGGAAAAAGATATAAAACTATACCCAAGTGTTTAAATGTTTATGCTATTATTTGTGTTTGTGATATTATTATAATTACAGGGCATTGTCCTTACTCTGTTCAGTGTGGAGAAGCTGGTCATTTTTTTTAATCTTGAAAAAAAAAAAAAGAGACAACAGCAACGATGGACTAAACCCAAATGCAAATCATGCTAGATAAAATAGCTTGTGGTCTTTTCCAAACAGAATTTTGACTGAAAGTTAGTGTACAAAATTGAGAAAACATAAAAATGTATAAAGCAGGCCTCTTTATATCTGCAGCAGCAAGAAGTCTGACACATCTCATCCTTTCATCTGAGATCACAAGGTAGAGAAGAAAAGCTGAAACCGAAAAATCCAACGTGAAAGGTGAATGTGAAAAGGACGAACTGCTGTCAGTTCTTGCCGACATTTCTGTGGGATTGACACTGTCTTCACAGGAGACTAAAGTACATCAGAAAAGTGCTGGCAGCAAAGCAAACACAGCCTAAAATTCCTGGACAACTGTAATTACAAAGTTTTCATCATTATAAATGTGAAACAAGGTCAAGGCCAAGGTCCTTTTAGCAGTAGATGAGCAGGACTTTAGATCTGCCACGACTGCGTGTGTACCGTCTTGTGGTAACACAAACACACACCCATGTGTGCGTCATTCTCTTCCCCCCTGCGACAGAAGCTCTCCGGCTGTCACTCTTCATCACTCTTTTTAAGCTGAAGCCCAGGAATCCTTAAAGTCACAAATAAAGATAATTTTTTCTTGAAGGTGTCCTTAGGACTGTGTGCTTGGATTTTGTGGTGGGTGCATGTTTGCTCTCGCTCTGTCCACTCATAAAATAAAAAAATAAGAGTATTTTGCAAGAATTTTAGCGAGTATGGACACCTCTCCTTTGCCCTACCGAGCGTGAAATCCTCACAACAGGCAGCGGGTATATTTAGAGGTGAGATAACACTTTAGAAGTACATGCAACTAAATGAATCCTCACCTTCCTTACACCACATACGCATTCATTTCAATATAGTACACTGAAACGACATGCACACATGACTTTTGCACCAAAAGAATCACATCTTGAATGAAAGTGCCATTCACATCCATTCATGCGTTAGGGCAGCACAATTTTGCACAAAGTTGCGATTTTAAAAAAAATAGATTTGTACAATAAAATATTATATATATATATATATATATATATATATATAAAATATCAAAATTACTATTAAACCAAAAATAAAAAAAATCTTGCAATTGTAATTATCACAAAAAGAGAGAATGATTCATGTGTCCAAGAGGCATTTCTCCTCTTATTGAGAAATACAGAGACCACAGCTCACCCTGTAATCACACACAACACACAGCCAAAGCAGTAAAAATAGACTTTGTTTTTGCAAGGTTTTGGGAGGGGCGGCAGCAGGGTAGGGAACCCAACACTGTAATACACAACCCCAAACCTTACATTTGAGAAGATACAGAAGACATATAAATTTCCCCTGGAGAATCAATAAACTATGTTTATGAAGACTGTATGCACAACAGATCACAGAGGCACAAAGAAAGACAGGAGAAACTATTAACAAAACAAAAAAGACAATGAACTTTGGATCTAGCCTGTAACTCAGAACTGAACTAGCAAAACCACTTTCAGGCGAAGACTGATATAGCCTATGATTAGTAAGGGAGACCAGCGCCCTTAAACTCTCTCTGGTCAATGGTCATGTTTCAACTTTGTGCCAGAGGAAAATTAAGATCTAAAATGAATAAAAAGAGATAACTAGTATGGTCTTATTAGATAATGGTATAGGAGTCAGATTAAATGTAGGCTATATATAAATGATATTAAGATTGGATGGACATTCGAAACTTTCAAATATACTTTTATTGCAATCATTATGATCACAAGCTGTAATAACGCGTAGAAGGATAGCACTATTTTGCCTGTTTAACTGAATACATGACTTTAACCATCCACATTACTTGTATTATCATCAAGTTGTAGGCTATATTATTTGGACATTACAGGGCTCCCCCTGATGAGTCGGACCCTCATCCCAGATTTTTCCCTTGACTCAGTCACCTCTGGCTTCTTGATTGTAACATTTGAAACATGAATTTTCTGCAAAGCTGCTTTGAAACAACGTGTATTTTGAAAAAAGCTATACAAATCAACATGAACTGAATATTACATTTTTTCATTTAATTAATTCATGAAAGAATCACACATCTTGAACATGGACATGGCATACAGAAATATCCAATTAAATCTAATAAAATTTAAATGTCTGCAGACAAAAAATAAAATGTAATTTTGAATGTGTCTTATTAAAATTATTGGCTTGATACTGCTTTGGTTGGAAGCTGTGCAACAATACCTACATGAGTTAAGAAAACCTTTACAATTATAAAAGGCTTTGCAATTGTAACAGAGGGGTTTTTAAGGGGTTTGTTTTAACTGGGTACTGATGAACAACACTCTAGTGCGCACTGGTCCACAAAAGAGGATCTGTTTCTCATGTTAAAGACAAACTGCGGCTTTTCTAGTAGCCTACACATTTGAAGTTAGTGGTGTATTAAACATGCCTGAGCAAGGATTAGGCTAAGAGGAGCGGAAGCGCTAGCGGTCATGTTCCGTCTATCATCCAGCATCAGCAGCCCACCGGGCCCCGGGCCCCCACCCACCTCCACCACAACACAAGCGATCATACCCATGCAGGGCGCACGACAACGCCAGGACAAAAGATTCTTCACCGGCTGTTATCTCGACCCGGTGCATACTAGAGCTCAAAAACAGCCGGGGGGAGGATACGGAGAGAATAGAGAAAGAGAGAAAGCACATGAAAATCCTCCGTGGATGTAGAGAACTAAGCGGCGAGAGGAAACACGCTAAACGTTATAAAATGGGTCTCTAAACGTTCACAATTAGGTTACAGAGAAACGAGGGGAGGCGACACCGACCTCGAAACAAGCACAGCAGCAGCATCCTTAATGAATGTCTAAAGACGGAAAATAAACAATCATTTTAAAACACACACACACACACACTTCGACGCGATAATATATTACTCCTACTTACATATATGCAGGCGAGAGTGGGGAGGACCTGGACGTTTTAAGGACGGGCACTGGAAATTTCCAGCTGACGGGCGAACCGCTTTTCCATTTCAACGGCATGTTTTTCCAGTCAGCACCTCTGAGATACAGCGCGAATGAGAATAGCCGTCAATAGCGAGTCCATGAAGAGGCGACCAGCGCGGGCTTCCATCCCCGGCAGCCCTCGCCGAGAGCAGGGAGGAGGACGAGCAAAATATAAAGAGGAGGATCAGCCGCCGACACAGGCAGCTCTGTCTGAATACCGGAGCGAAGGTTGGCGGAAAACCGGGAGAAATGACACTTAAGCCTGAGCCGAGAGGTGAAAAGCAGGTGTGCCTGAGCTGAGCATCATCTCCTGAGAAAGACAGAGGGGGGATGATGGAGGGAGGAAAAAAATAGGCACCGTCTCGTCCGGTCAGCGCAGGGAACAGGCATGCGCGGTCGGTGCACTGAATGTTCAGCTAGTGCCACCTTGTTTGAATGCAGGCGGACTATGGCAAGCCGTATTAACATTCATTCAATTAACTACTGTCGATTGTATGTTAATAGTACTTTAAAAAATAAATAAAAAACTATAGTAGGCTAGGCTAACCCAATAAGCCCTGTAATATGCATTCGGTGCTTTAGATATCAACCATTTACTTCTGGTTATATGGGGCTGTTGAATGCTTGAATCTTATTGGTTGAATGTTGTAAGGTGTGCAATTATTTTCAGGGAAATGCACGGCTAAAGTAGTTCCAGGTCTTGACCACATAACTGAAATCATTTGGCGAAGTGATATGTAATTTCAAAAGGTCCTTACAGCCCACAACAGCAAAATAACCTTAATTCACAATGACACTGACCAAGCAAATAAACAATAGGATAAAAACAACAAATTATGTCCCTGTTTTTCCCCCACAAAATTACGTTTATTATGTACGGAAAGCACATACTCTCTTTCTCCCGCTCTCGCTCCCACTCAAACGCACGCACACACACTCACATAGAAACGTGTCGTCAGCGCTGATCTGATGATTTTATCAGTAAAATAGTTTAACAATTTGAAAGCTACCTGACATTTCTTACTAGTGAGGTAATAACGGCGCTGTTCCTGGAGCAGAGACTCAGGTAATTCACACGCTTAATTCTAGCTCTCTATAATAACGGCAATGACTGCTATCAGGGGCTCTCAAGTCTTCGTTACTAGGCCTAGATGTTACAAAATGATGTTTTGGAATTAGCAACAGAGGTTTGATATTAGATGCGCAAGAAATGAGTCCTACACACAAGGGTATTATAAGGACAAAAACATGAGAAATGTCTTGGAATGTAATCTGAACAATGTTTTGAGGTGTGGAAACCGTAGTTTAAAGGGGTCATATAATGGTACATGCACTTTTACAAGTTGATTGTACTGAAATGTGTGTTGGCAGTGCCTGTACACAACCATCATAAAATGATAAAAATCCATCCAGTGTTTTTGTTTTAATCTCCTTATATGTTTTCCCCTGCCTCAAATCAAGCCGTTCGACCGTGTGACGTCACATGGTCGGAAGCCCCTCCCACGATTGTTGATTGACAGGAGCGTTTCAACACAGACCCGCCCTCGCTCGTGAGGGAGCTGTCAATCATAGTCCGCGTGTACCGGCGCGGTCATTGTTGATATGCTGGAGCACTGTCTATGAGCAGAATGGCGTCTAAGCGATTGTGGTGTTCTGTTCTTTGGGTGTAATAACAAACACAGCAGTCATTTTAATGTTCCTAAATCCAAACCGCTGAAGACGCAGTGGCTGAGTTTGTTTTTGAAGGGAATATTCCCCACGAGCAACGTCAATGCTTTCATGTTTGCGCGAATCATTTTCACACACCATGAACGAGGATCAATATAAAGCTGGATTTGCTAAGAAGCTGCTCATGAAAAAAGGATCGGTACCAGATATTCGTGTTCCTGCTGAATCTCCAGAAGAACGGAAGTGAGTGTAACGTTTTATTAGGGGTGACCCCGAATAGTCGAAGATTCGATGCTTCGATAGGAGGAGCCTGATTCGACTACCAATCTCACGGTCGAATCTTCGCAGATGTGTTATTAAACGAGGATTATGTCATTTTGGCTATATAAGTGTGCTCAATGTCTGATTTCACATAGAACTACTGGTTTTCTGTCAATACGTTAATATACAGCCTATTATGATAATGCTGTCAATAAAAATGTGGAAAGAAAGAAGCTTTTAATAAATATTTTTTAACGTGCGTGCAGCGTGAATAAATCCAAACACCCCGTGACAGATTTAAGTTTCACTTTCGATCCGTGACCGACAGAGGAGCGTCTTGTCGGCAGGGATTTAAATGTCTGGGATAAGAAAATCTAAAGATGCACACCATCAGAAGGATATTCTCCAAGGCTGGATTTAGCATCAGGAAAACCATGATCGCACTTCTGCCGGCCAACTTTAACAGGTTGGTTTTCCTCGGGACATTCTAAAACGCTTAACGTGAAAAAAGCTTTTAAAACACTTAAATGGCACTTTTACGTGCTTAATGTGTACACAGTAGGCTACACACCTTAAGAAACCATACTATGTGGAGATAAGCAGATGACCCCAGAATATGAACGCAACGCGTTTCTCCTATAGAAAGTCACGTAAAGCTTTTTCTTTAACGGTTTTCTATGGGAGGAAAATGCTTAACGTATAATAAAACGCGTTGCGTTCATATTCTGGGCTCATCTGCTTTTCTGTAGGCTATATAGTATGCTTTATTAATAAGGTGTGTACAGAATTTGATCTTTTAATATAACAGTTTTAGGACAAAGCCGTTAAGCGTTTTTCACGTTAAGCGTTTTAGAATTTTATCCGCGCACACAATTTGAAAAGACTCAAATGGACACAGGCCGAGTGAAAGACTGGATTTTGTTTTTTCGATCAGGTATGGGTACAAGTGATTTCAAAACATTTCAGCCGGTTCTAATTTGATTTTTGGATACTGTGTGAACACGTTTAGCTAAAAAGACTGCCGCTCCAGTTTAGCGTTTATTGTTGTTTCTGCAGTTAAAAAGACAAAGTTGACAATCCTGGCCATACTTTCGTTATTTTAATAATTTCTTTATTTTTATTTTATTAATTGATCACTCAGGGTGATCTAATTTAACTATTTGTGACTTGTGTTTTGAATATTTGTTCCCCTGCACTTTAGGCATTTTGCACACATTTGTTCTGGTTCTTGTGACTTGATTCTGACTTATTTCATTTTGTATTTTAATTTATTATAAATGTATATTGTGTTCTTAATTGTTGATTATTTTTCAGTGCATCGATGTTGCGCTGTGGGCTTACTTAGAGCATGCTCGTAAAGGCAATTCAGCCGATTTAATTTGATTTGCATGTGAAATGCAAATCCTACCTGCAGTGTGGCCTTTGCCTTTCTGCAGTTATTTATGTTATTTCTTAGTTTTATTGATCCAAAATGTTTTTATACATTTTCTTCTATATCTTTGTGTGATGTTCTGTACATCGCGGCTTTAAAATGTTAAAGCCCCGCCCCCTCCCCAACATTACACGCATGATTCGACTATTAGTCGACTATAGGCAGGCAGGACTTGACGAATCTGATTCGACTATGAAAATCCTTAGTCGGGGACACCCCTACGTTTTATTAAACTTTATATTAATATATTAATCTTTGCAAATCGCTAGCTGCACGCTTCACAATGAATGCGTCTAAGGTTTACACTCAGGGTACATTACGGCATGTTTTCTATGTATGACGTTCTCAATATAATTCATAATCCCACGTTTATACTGAACAACGCGTTATGGTTATTGTGTAACAAATGGTGTGTGCACAGAACAGAGAGGCGGGGTGAGCAAAGCTCATTATCATTTAAAGTCATATGCACTGAAACGGCGTGCTGAAAACAGAGCTGTTTTTGACCAGGTAAAATAAGTGTTTTCTTACAATACTAATGAGAATTTTGAATTAAAGTATATTACAAACTTTTAATTTAGAACCTAAAGAATCATATTAGCTTGTACAAAAATGGCATTATATGACCCCTTTAAGTGGAATATTTGACTCCAGGCCATTGAATTATTGAAAAATAATGCACACCCGAGGTGTAAAGGCCCGTCGTCAATTATTCCTTACTTATAGAATAAGTACTATTATTGAATATATAACAAAAACATTTGCTAGTTAGATTTAAGGACAGAAAAAAAAGTTAAATTGGCTTGCCATTGCTAACTGCAGAGAGCTAGTGAGTGAAAGAGAGATAAGAGTTTAAATGACCTGGCATCAAATACAACACGACTGCAGACACAAGAAATCTAAAACCCAAGTACGATTGTCTTGAACATTAAAGAACATCCCTCCTGTTCCTCAGTGTTGTATAATAGTGAAGCATTTCTCACTGATGTCCATTATGAGAGACAGGTCTTTTCAAAACATAGCTAGCTAGGCGGCACAAGCAGGGCACAAAGTCCACCGCGGGGCTCTTTACCCACTGCCATGACAGCACATGTCAAAGAGGAGACAGAGAGGAAAAGAAAGAGCTACCACATTCGTTTCTGCGATTATGTCCATCTTCGTTAAAAGTGCTGACAACAAATCAGAATAGATGTACTTTCACTTATTAAATCACTTTCTGGATGTGCTACAACATTTGAAAACGTGACCAAGTGCGTGTCACTCTCTCTGTTCTTTTGTGCTGTCCACCATGTATCTCTCCCTTTCTCTCTGTCTGAGTGGCATGTGGTGGCCCTTCACCTCACTGTGTTTTGCTTTCTTTTGAGTCCAATTTAAATTAATTTCCATTTAAATAAGACATTTACACAGTTTATGGAACACACTTACCTTACAGCTTACACTATCAACAAGCAAGAAATATTATAATACTATTGAAAAGTTTGGGGAAAGTAAGATTTGTAAAAAGAAATTTATATTTTAAAGGTGCAGTATGCGATTTTTTAGAAACACTTAATATTTGAAATCAACCCAAACAAGCTGATGCGAAGCAAAATGATTATTCGTGAAAAATAAAGCAAAGTTGACAAACAAACGACAAGGTCAAAAAGGAGGAACAAAAAAAATGAACATACAGTACACAAGAGTAGGCTTTACAAGCAAGAATTCATTGTTAGTCACCAGAAGCACACGAGCTCCAGACAAACACTGACACTCAAAATTGTCCTGTTACTATAGCTAACATTACAAAAACAGCATATCTTAGTTCTGTGAAAGATAGCAAAACTAATGTTACACCCATATGGAGCAGAAACAATGCCACCTTGGCATCCGTTTTCAGGCCTTCCCGCTCTAACGTGCAGCGCTGGAAAGATTTTCTAATATTAACGTGGGTCTTAAAATTCTTGCCTGATCATAACCTTCTTTTTTCAGTAATATTCCTCTGATATTTATATAGATTTTATAGATTTTTTTTATTTTGTAATGTCTCTCA